TATCATAATATTATGATGTGATGATGCCTTTGAAGAAGATATGTCTATTTGACCCTGTCGATGTCAAGCCTGAGCCTGTTTGATAATTTCGTTCCCCATTATGTTCTGGCCAAGGCATGGACTAAAATCTAAATTTGATGCATTCTCCAATTATTTGTCTGAGTTTATCTCTCATATCCACATGTTTGGAATTTCATTAATATCATGCTTATTTCATTCTTCAAATCTATTATGTCTTTCATTAAGTTGATTTCTATTTAAATATTCTTGTTTGCATCAGGGATACATTGATGAGCATTGCAAAACATTATCAAACAGGGGAGAACCTACCTGAAGAGGTATATTTGAAGCTCCTTGCTGCAAGGACTTTCCGTTCTAGTTCTCAATGTCTTCGTGCGGTCAGTTGAACTTGTTCTGCACTTAACTCATTTTTAGTGTATACATTATTTCTGCAGAAACAATGTGTTTCCTGAGGATGTCTTGTGGAACAGAAGCCTGACCCTTAATGTTTGTAGGGTACCTTGTGAGAGTTCATTATCTCCATGTTCCCCCCATCTATCCTTCTCTTCTATGTCCTTGAAAATTACTCTACAAAAATGTGTAGTATAAAATGATTTTTCTAAACTCCATGATTCTGTATGTTGTTGTTGTCTTGTTCTGATGAAAGAATATTGTAAATTTTGGTGAAGTGGATCAGTGTTTTTGCTCCACAAATATAATAATTGACCATCTTTTCAAAATGTTTCTTTTTTCAGGTTAAACTTGCTAGCCTGGATTTGGAGCTGCATACAAAATATATACCAGATGGGTCGGAATCAGTTTATGATGTTGATCGGAGAGTTTCCAGAAAAACAGAAGTAATCCCCTCATTACCGGGAAGATAGAGTTCTTTGTGCTTTCGTCCATATATTTGCAGGTTTGCTTCTACTTCTTCCAGCCCCTCATGTACTTTTTATGACTACGATTTCACGTTGGAGATTTTTGAATTGATTGACTTTTGTCAACGTCAGTTGGATATGCTACTGGATACTACAGTTACAAGGTATACTTTATCATTTTTTATTCTTATAAAACTGCTGTGGAACCATGTTTTGAAATTTAATGGTTGGAACCAATCATAGGAAGACTATATAAACTTATTAATCCTCCTCCCTCTTCTCCTTTTCTATCTTTAGCCTGCTTTTGCATATAACATATTTGTCTGCTAAAGTCCTGTGATCATTTTTAATGAACTGTGGGCATGATTTCGATCCTTATTTTACTTTTTTTTTCCTTTTCCCCTTGTTATACGATATGAAATTCAAAATGCTATTTCGCAGGGGGCAGAAGTGTTGGCTGCAGATGCTTTCTCTGCTTTTGAGGAAGCTGGATTAGAAGACAAGAAGGTATGGAGGTTGCGAATCCTTCTCAGGATTGGTGTTTTGCAGTCTTTTGTTTTCTTTTGTATGTTTTATTAATCTAGAAGACTGAAGATCGTCATCTGCAGTTCTGCTAAATTATTAGGATGAGCAAACATGTTATTGCGCGCAGATCCTCATCTGCAGTGGTGATATATGATGCAGTTATTGCTAGTATTTATTTGTTCTTTAAACAAAAAGGGTATGATCCATTGATCGGACAGGCTGTTAAAGAAACCGGGCGCAAGTTCCGAGAGACTGTTTGCTCTTGGAGGTGGAAAAGCACCAATGGAGGTTAGTTTAATACAAATTGTATAGAGATTCCGTTTCTTTCCCTTTCTCAGCAACAATGAGGATACCTCCAGTTTCTTTCCCTAGAGTTCTTCCATTGAATCTTCTTAACTTGAGATGATGTAACATATCCAGGTCTTTGTCGAGTTCTGTGGACGCCAACCTTCACCTGAGGCATTGCTCAGGCACAATGGGTTATTACCAGCCACACAGCCTGAACATAAGCTGGTTTGATTTTAAGTCGGCATTCAGGGTTTACCAAAGAGACATGGAAAGCAAGTTTTACAGTCATTTAAGTTCCAGTTATACACCAGCTTTATGTTCAACTCCTCCCTTCAAACTTGGTTTAAATTCATGTGTGGTAAATCTTTAGAGATGGTAAAAAAGATATAATGTTCATCAAAGATTTGAAGGGATTATTATTAGGATGTTTATTATATCAAACATATCGTTGTTATGAGCTTGTTTTCCCGGAGTTTGTTGGCTGTTGTTGACATGTTCAATGAATAATCTTTTCTGTTGGATTGTCTGCTCAAACTTATGTGTTTCTAGGACATTGTTGTGTGCTGTTAGATGCATAGTACGAAATTTTCTTAAGCATGGTAAAGTCATCATCCTGGTGTTGCATATTTGGCCTACATAGCTGCAAAACAACATTGAAGCTCTGCAAACTCGTAAAGAAAAATGGAAGAGACAAAAGTGCTTGGTCTTTCATTTAAAAAACAAGGGATAGTTCTATCAAGAAGCGATTGGATCCTCCCAGGCTATATATGCTGTGGATGGACTACATGTATTCGGATGCATTGTTCTCTATGATCAAAGCATCCTCCGGCTCTCGAACGGTGTCGTCCATGCACGGTCGGTAAGCGGAAAAGGGCTCTGTTTTGCTTTGCAACTCTCTTTTCTTGCCTTTGGTTAATATAGGATCTGGGTTCATTTAACAATCTAGAAATGAGAAAACATGAGAGCAGATGATACCCATTGGACCAAACTCCATTCGTTTCGCGGCCTTCGTATGTTTAGAGGCTCCCTTCAGCTGATAATTTCAAGTACCACTTTTTGCAGATACTTGCCGGGTAGAGTAATACCTGAAATTGAATAACAACAAAATTATTATTCAGGTTGCATAAAGTTTCTTTAATAGAGTTATGTAAGCTGTAGTCGATGGGCATTTGTTTGGGTCTATATTACTCCCTACTTTTCCTTTTTCTAAAGTACATGAGTCCAATACTCGAGTAGGACATATTGATATTACCCTCTATCAATGAAAAATGAGAAAAGAAACAAAGTGAATTTTAGAACCCCACTCTCAACATCACCTTCATATATTTCCAATCAAAACCTAACCTTTCATTTCGGGCATTGTCTTTTCCCTTTCCCATTTCACACTCTGCCTTGTATTGTTTTTCATATTCACCATTCAGTTGTGTTTATTTTTAATAAATTAAAACCCAAACTTTTAAAGATATCCTAATAAGAAGAGTGGTTATAACATTTGACATGGGATCACAAAATTGTTTCTTTGTAATATTTAAAGGAACACGATGGCCCCAAGCTGCTTTCATGGCCTTCTCTCCTTTTCAGTTTTTGTTTCTTAAACTGAGATTGAAAGAAGCCATCGCGAAAATTGCAATTCGGCTGTTGGGATTTTGTACTTCACTTAATTTATTAATGCTTGTAAGTTAATGGAGTTGGTTAAGACCTTTTTGTTCATTAAAATGCAGTTAATAATGATATCCAATTAATTAGTATATTTTTAATTTTAATTGTTCAAATTATGAATCTTTCAATTTAATTATACGAGTATCATTGATTGATTTTAAAAGAATTAAATTATCTAAGTGATTAAAAGAATTGTTGTTCCTAGAGATCACAGGTTCGAGCACCAACGGTTGCAGCAGGGTAATTGAGCGTTCATTGTTAAATTATTAATAGTATGAAGAACATATGTCATGTTTGAGTTACCAATTTAGTCAATCTACAATGTCATCTGCCACGTTATCAACAATCATAGATTACAACGTCAACATCGTGGGTCGCTACGTCAGTATCGTGAACTGTCACGTCAACGCCGTAACGGTCAATGATGAAAAATATTGGTTAAAAGATCACATTAAGCTTATTTTCTGAATTGGATATATAAACATCTAATACTTTTTTACCTAAATTTAATAATTATAGTTATTTAAAATCAATATAAGTTTAATTAAATTTTTAATTAATTAATATCAATTTTGTACTATTGTTGCAACATTATTAAAAATATGAGTTAAATGTACGCTTCTTCATATAAATATTTAAGCATAAAATCCGATAAAAACTCGTTTTATCCTATTTTTAAGTGATTGTTGCAGCATTATTAAATGTACGACTTCTTCATATGAGTTAAATCGTAGTTTTTTTTCTTCTTATTTTTTAATTTTAAATAAATATATTTTCTATTTTGATTTTTTTATCGCATATCCTTATAAAATATCGATGATAATAGTTTGATGTTTCGTATTATATTCATCACGGTACACCTCCTAATAATAAAATATCGATGATCTCGTATGGTTAGAACATGAAACATATATTCAATAGGAAAATATCGATGATCTCGTATGGTTAGAACATGAAACATATATTCAATAGGAGATTTGGACGGATTCAGAATCGTTTACGAAACAATATTTTAAATTAATTTTCTCAATATCCACAATTTCATTAATACTGCGTATAAATTCAACATTAAAATTATTGATATTTATTAAGTTTTTTAAAAAAATATGAAGCATGTATTCGCTCAAAACTTGGGTATTTCAATCCAGTGTTTTTGCTTGATTTCCAAGTTTCCCTAAAATGAGAGAAAAATCCCACAGCTTTACCTAATTTTTGACGGTGACCTCCACTAATCAGTTATTATTCTTCACACATGCGCTTACCTTGGCTTTCCCAGGAAACAGGGTTCCCCGCTTCTCATGGCTAATCCCGATTAGTTAAATTCGTGAACTGCCAAAAAGAAAGTGGCTACGAAATCTCCTTTTTCAGGAACAAAATAGCCCAGCTTGCATACTCCGTTACTCCAGAAAAAATGTACTTGAACTGGAACTGGCAAGTTTAAGTGCAGAAAAAAGCAAAAAAGATTGGAACAGTTGGAATCTTCTTCCTGGTGGGGGAATAATGGCATGAAGCCGTTATAAGCGGTTAAAAGTATACACAAATTTACCTGTAATTTTTTCAACCTGGGGAATGATCCAAAGATGGTCAATTTTCCGACCCATCTCTTTCCTTTTTTTTTTCTTTTACTGATGAAAAACTCGGAGGGAAGATTAATCTAAATATGTACAATCAAGTTGCCAATCCCAAAGGTCATGGGAAACGCGGCGCCTTGGGCGGCTTTTCAACTTTTACTTCGAACTTGTCTTGCCGTGGAGGTTGACATGGACATGGTAATGCTATGAACTTTGGGATCCGGTCTCCCGGCATTAATACAGGCAAGCTCTGGCTTTGGTTTTGCTTCAAATCCTGAAATCATTAGCACAAACTAAGCTTAAGCCTCAATTCTCAACTCAGTTTTCTGTTTGTTTTTAAAGATTGTGAGACAGAGAGAGAGAGAGAGAGACCAGGCGTGGGTCTGGAGAGAGAAGTTTCAATGTCGGCGTCAGGATGGGAACCATCGGCGAAAGATCGGCGGAGTGACCTGAGCTTGTCCAAGTGATAGCAGAAGGAGAAGATGCCACTCAAGCTGAAAATGATGATCAAGAGGAGAGCTGTGCCAAGAGGGAAGCCGATGGACGGTCGAGATGCATCCACGTGGGGCGGTGAAACAACCTGATTCTCCATCGCATAGACTCCTCTTCTCCAATGATGAATGAATTAGCGAGTCTGTCTGATGCTGTGGTTGGTCCTTCTCTCATAAGTAAGGGGAAAAAACAGAGGTAAAGACCCTGCAAAATTAGGGTATACGAAAGAATATTTAGTGATGTTAATAGGCTGAAAGGAAATTTGAGGAGGCGAGTGAGAATGGAGAGTGGGGAGGGGTTTATAAAAATGAAGGGAAGGTGTGTACAGTGTACGTGAGCAATAATAGTACAATGTGGAAAGGTGTACCGGCAAATGTCCTTGCTGTCCGGGCCATAGTACGGATTTTACTGGGTCCAAATGTTGCGTGCTAGCCATGATCCTAGAAACTGGTATTATTTTTTTTGCGTAATCATTATATATCAGTTTTAAATCTTGTAATAATATATATTATAAATGTAATTAAGTCTATTTTTAAAAAAAGTAATAATATTTACTTTAATTACTAAAGTACCTCAATAAATACAATCTGAAAACTGTTATAATGCTTGGATCAGGTCTTGGTCTCCCTCTTTTAATACTTTAGCTTTTTGGGCAAGGGAAACCAGTTACAAGTTAAGTGACCATATTCTATGGACGGCAGCCACCAACTTGTGTATCAAGCATATGTTGTAAGGATTGGTTCCAAACTTTGCAACTACTATCATGTCTTAACTCACAGCTAATTCCCTATACTTCACAAAAAATGCGGAATATGGTTAGATAAAGAATTGTACTTCGTCGATATACCCTTGTGTAAATCAAAGGTCGAAAAGGGAGCTGGGCTCCTACAACAACAAACTGTGGGTATTTGATATTTGGCCCTTAGAAGTTGTTAAAGGGTGAACCATAAACAAACCAAAAAAGCAATAAAAATCAAGCAGAAGCGATTAATTGGGGTCATGTCAAATCCCTATTCTTTTCGTGGTTTTACAGTAAAAAGTGGAACTTTGAAGAAATTGCAGGATGTTTCTGCAATACAAGAAAATAAATATCAGACAATAAAACAATAGGAATAACCAATTGTTTAAGAGTTAAGAGGCATGCATAATGCTGTTCATGCGAACGACTAAGAGATGTCGTGGCGGCAATGAACTCTTTATATAGAGGAAATGTCGTGTGGGATCCGAATTCGAATGTTTAAGACAGATTTTTCAGCTCTCTTTTGACTTCCCTACCCACGAAAACATACAGAAACCCTCGTTTTTTCTGCACAATGGGGACCGCTTTTTAAAAGTTAGTCTAATAGTTTGAACTCACTTGTTTGCATCACCCGATAACTCCTAAATGTTGAATAATTCAAGTGTCGTATGGTACACCGTTGTGCACATGTTGTTGCTGGAAAATATTCAGTGCCCAGCATAGGAAACGTTGATAGCCATCTCTAACTATTGTGAAAATGGGACCATCAGTCTTCTTTAACTTGCCAGTTTCGTACAGAAATTACAGTCAGACAGTCAAGACTTTCATAAATCTTCTATTTTCAATTACGGGTTTTCCATCTATGAATGACGTGTCATGCGACATGCAGGACAGAGGTATATTAGAGATTGAATCTCTTAAATTTTAAGAGACAAAAATATTATATTAATAAAAAATAAATAAATGAAATATAAAATTATTTTAAATATATATTCTCACCAATAACTCTCCATTATTCTCCACGATTTTCAGAATCAAAACAGTCTATATCCGAAGAATCAAATATATATATATATATATATATATATATATATATATATATATATATATTCTCCATTATTATCATATTCTCACTAATAATTCAATCTCACAAAGTTAGAAATATAATATAATAGAATGTAATTAGTTGGTATTGAGTTAGTCAAAGTTAACTGAGTTTGTTAAAGGTTGGTTAGTTTGTTAGATCAAGTTGTTAAACTTGGTTTAGTGGTGCTATATAAGTGATGTTTGTAATGGGTTAAAGACTTAAGCATTTTGTAATTCATTTCTTCACATTTAGTAAACAGAGTTGCCTCTTTCACATCTTCTCATCTTCATTCACTATCATTTACCTTCCTTCATCTTCTGGTTATTATGTCTTATTTCTCACATGGTATCATTCACTAAAAAGATCTTGACACCATTTTTTTCCCGTTGTTGCACCATTGGACTCCTTTCTCTCACGCAGTTGCTGCCACAGTGAGATTGCTATTCCACCGTCATTGACAGTGTTGTTGTTTCGATCATTAAGCGCCACTCCTGCATCAACGAGCTACTTTATTCTTCCTTGACATCGATTTTTCTGTTGGCAGTTTCGAATGTGAATCAGTTTCACCGTCGGAATTCATCTTTTGATGAGTGTGACTGGTGATGTGTTCTTAGTTTTTTGGCTTGATTAATATCTAATTTTCGTTCTTGATAGTGTGGTTTCATCAAATGTTTGTCAATGGTTGGTCTTGTTATAGTTTCCCACACTATCTGTCACTTTGATTCCTGGTTGTTCTGCGCTTCTCTGCTTCAATTGAGCTTGCTGAATAATCATGCATTTTGAACGATTCAATTGATCCTCTAGTGTCTGGAAAGTGACAAGGAAATTGCAGTTTTTTGTGTGTGCATACCTCCAATGTGTTCGACTAAATGCTTCAGTGATGTTATTGTGAGTCCAATTCTTTGTTGTCGTTGAGGACAAGTTTTGTTATGTGTTGCATTGCTGGTTGGAAACTAGTGTTGTAAGTTGATGTTGAATAATGGCCATTGGTACGATGTTGCTTTGCTCAGCTATTGACATTTTAGTTTCTACAGTAACTGTTATTTCTTCTCCAAAGTTTGACATGGAACTTGAAAGCTTAACAGCTAAGTTACCATAGAAGAAAATATCTGGGGAGAGTCAAGTGTTTAACAGCCTTGTTCTCCTTAACCAGACAAAATAGAGTGTTTTCTTGCTCAAGAGAAGCTTCATATTACACTCGGGAGCTTGTAGCTTAACAACCTTGCTTCCAACAAAAAGATTGATCGAATAAGTGAAGAAGAATGACAGTAAAGATGAAGAACAAGGGAAAAAAACTGTTAAAGAAAAGAGAGCTGAAGAAAGCTTCTTTCAACGAAAAAAAATTGTTCAGCGAAAAAAAATTGTTAAAGAAGCAATGTGAATAAAGGAAAAAGAAGAAGAAGACACTATTTTCTTTTGGATGCCATGCTAATTGTTTTTCCCCCCAAGAAGATCAAGAAGAAGAAGCAGGAAGAATGTTATAAATATAATATAATATAATGTAATTATATGGTATTGAGTTAGTCAAAGTTAACCGAGTTTGTTAAAGGTTTGTTAGTTTGTTAGATCAAGTTGTTAAACTTGGTTTAGTGGTGCTATATAAGTGATGTTTGTAATGGGTTAAAGACTCAAGCATTTTGTAATTCATTTCTTCACATTTAGTAAACAGAGTTGCCTCTTTCACAGCTTCTCATCTTCATTCATTGTCATTTACCTTCCTTCATCTTCTGGTTATTATGTCTCCTTTCTCACACACAACTCATCATTTAGCAACATAGATGCCTGAAAAGATGATGAAAAAGTATACAAGGTTTTATTACCAACCTTCCATTTGCAAGCATTCCTTGAAAGACATAATTTTTAAAAATATTTAACGTGTAGCAGCATTAGCCATTGGGTAGCAGGTGGTAGTTAGTACATCTTAGTCGGCATTACAATTAACTGGAGATTGAATGCATTGCTACTGCCTTCCTGAAGCTTCAATAATGTAGTTAAAATATCACATCGAACGTAGTACAACTTATCAATCTAGTAAATTACCTTTTAAATAATGGGTTTTAGTTATATTTCATAATTTGGACTTGCTTCCTTATAGCGTTTGTGTTTTAATTATTGAATACGTCGGTCCAATATTTTAGAAAATGACACTCATATGTTTGAATTAATAGAAGCATACAAATCTTTTATCGTTCGAAAGATGACAAAATTATCTACTTTTGTTTCAAATGTTTTCATTGAGGAGTACATTAGAAGGCTCAAATGGAGACGATGAGTGAACCCAGGACAAAGCACACACCCACCTTGACAGGCAAAATATTAATAAAAAAAGGCAAATCACCTATTTATTTTGTTACATTTATATTATTTTATTTCTTTTTTGGTCATCAATTATTATTTTTTAAAAATAATATGTAATTTATATTTAGTCACTCACCGTTAAAAAATTAACGACGATACTAATGACACGTGTCATGAGTAAAATCAAAGAAACTTAAAATCTAAAGGAGGAATTGAACTCTAATATATTAGAGAAGATGCATTGCAATTTGCACCTAGTCACTGGGCTACGAATGTTGTTTATGTCAATATCACCAAAGCTTATATCTAACTTATATTACAAAATTAATGATTTTAATTGCATCTTTGATTTGAGCATGAGACCTTTAGGACTAAAAACTAAACATTTTCACCCTTTGAAATAAACTAAGAACTTGTAAGCATTCTACAAGCATATATTTAATAGGAAAATTCTACGACTTTCGACGAGCACTGTTGAACACCACTAACGATGAGCACTATTAATTTAATTTATAAAAATTTAAAATTCTAAGTACTCAATTTATAATTATAAATTAGTTAAAAAATTTAAAGATAAATTAGTTAAAATAAAAATATTTATTATATTATTTTTTCATTATCTTTTTAGGTAAACTATAACAATGACCACCTAACTATTATCTATTTTTTTTTTTCATTTTGACCACTATTTTTGAATTTTTGTCAATCAAGTCATAAACTATTTAAATGCATTCAATCAAGCCACTTGTTATTAACAATTAATGAAAGTGTTGACGTGACAGTTAATAAAATTTGTATAATTACACTTTTAGTCATTATTACTTACACAGTATATCAAATTGGTCATATTTTGAAATTAATTCGATATATTTTATCCCCCAATCATATAACTTCAAATCTTTTATATTGAAATATTAACAAATGATACATAGGAAATTATCCTCCAATCATATAACTTCATATTTTGAATTATAATTTGATGATTTAAAATAAATAAGGGAAATAAAAAAAGAAAATCTCTAGATCAACAACGAAACATGTTTGAGATGATTTTGTAGTTGTTATTATCGATAT